TGGAACTTTGGGTTTGGGTATCAAATAATTCGGCTAGACTGACAGGAGGGTAGAACCAAACTCATACCTCTAGCCGCCAGGCAAAACAAAAAGGAAAAGGAGCCAAAACGCTCGCAGGGGGCTGAAAAGTGCAACTTATTACAAGCCTTACAAGTTCTAGATAAAACTAAGGTGCTCACATCCAAACAGAACATGGGTTTTTCCAGCTGAGAAGTCAATCTTCAACCGCCCATTGCTGCAGCGCCAGTTTTCTTCTGCCTCGCCTGGTTTGCGCATCCCCACTTGGTTTTCTTGAAGGGTTGCACTGGGGTCAGCGGCAGTTCCAGCGGAGTGACAGGGCTCAGCAGCGATGAGTGTTTGCAGTTCTTCTCAGGGCTGTTCGGCGGTGTGTAGCGATCAGGTGGAAGCAAAACCCCAAACCTCTTCCCCTGTCCCAATGACATTTTGGAGAGTGAGTCTAGACTTAGGATACCTGCAGTATCATTGCCATCAATCACCCCACAGTCAGCAGGAAAGGGGAGGTGAGGATCACTGCAACTTTTTGAGAAACCATCTTCAACTCTTCCAAGGGAGATTCTTTGAACAGGATCATCCACTTCTTGAGAGTCAAATGAATCTGCCACCATATCTGTTTGAGGTCATACCACAACACATTATTGAAAACCATAGAATTTCTAAACTTCCAGATGCACCACATAACACAGGCACAAACAGAGTTCAAGACTAGTTTGTTTTTATGGGCTGGCCAGAATCTAGCAATGGATAGGTAGTTGTTACCTACATCATGAGAAAGAATTCTAGACATTTCACTCCAGATTTGTTTAGCAACCACACAGCCAAAGAACAGGTGATCTATGGATTCATGTTCCTTGCAAAAAACACATTCAGGTGGTTTAGTAATCCCTCTCTTTAACAAGTTGTCTTTGGTCATTAACTTGTTATGGGACAAGAGCCACAAAAACACTTGCACTCTAGGTGGGACTACTATAGACCAAACAGAAGGTACATATACAGGCTGCACTCCTCTGAAGTTAATAATATTGTAAAGAGAGCTAGCAGAGTAGACCCCTTTGCTCTCATATTGCCAAATTAGTGAATCTTCCTCATCAGTCAGCACAGAGTTCTTGATGATCTGCTCAAGGCAGTACCAATTCTCCATCATGGCATCTGAGAAAACCCTCCTAAATGATAATTTGATATTAATCCCATCCCAAGCATCTGCCACAGTCACCCCCTGCTGGTGGCAGATAGTGTATAGGGGCCAGAACTGGACTAACAGGGGGGATGTGCCAAACCAGATGTCTTCCCAAAGTCTAGTCTTCTTACCATTACCTATTTTCCATCTATATCCAAACTTCAGGGCTCTAGCAGCCCACATCACTCCTTGCCAAATTTTGGAGGTGTTATGGGGGTTGGAGGCAAAAATGTTTGGGCTCCTCCTAATATATTTAGAGTCTACTATTTGTTTCCAGATCTTGCCCTCATCATGGATATACCTCTTAACCCAATTACCCAACAGGCACAGGTTAGCATCCTTGATGTTTGGGATACCCATTCCCCCATATTCTTTCGTCATGCAAACCAGATGCCAGTTTGCAAGGTGAAGCTTCCTATTCCCTTCAAAATCACTCCAAAGACAGTGAGCAAGCTGGCTGTTAATCAGGTCCAGGGTCCATTTGGGGAATTTGAAGAAGGAGAGCAGGTAAACAGGGATGCTAGCCAGACAAGCCTTAATCAGAATCACTCTAGCAGCATAAGAGAGAAGCTTTCCTCTCCATCCAGCCATTCTTTTGAGAATTTTGTCAATAGGTGGCTGGATGTCCTCCCTTCTAAGTTTGTCATAGTGTAGGGGGGTACCTAGATATTTGATAGGAAAGGTACCTACAGTACATTCTAATATACTTTTGAAAGAATCTACTTCTCTGTCAGTGAGCCCAATAGGGATAATCTCACTTTTAGAGTAATTGATCCTCATACCAGATACATTCTCAAAGCAGGTTAGGATATGTTTAAGGTTAGTAACTGTTGGGGAACGTTGCAGAAAATAAAAAATTTCCTACGGTTTCACCAAGATCCATCTATGAGTTCATCTAAGCAACGAGTGAAAGGGGAGATGCATCTACATACCACTTTGTAGATCGCGAGCGGAAGCGTTCAAAAGAATGGGGTTGAAGTAGTCGTTCTTGTCGTGATCCTATCACCGAAGATCCTAGCGCCGAACGGACGGCACCTCCGCGTTCAACACACGTACGGTCAGCGTGGCGTCTCCTCCATCTTGATCCAGCAAGGGGGAAGGAGAGGTTGATGATGATCCAGCAGCACGACGGCGTGGTGGTGGATGCAGC